TGTACATAGTAAATTATTCCATTCATACAAAACTCTAGGGAATACAAACTAGTGTACAGTTACAGAAAGCAGAGCAGTGGTTAGCTGCGGACAGGGAGTAGGGGCGGGAGGGAGGGGTTACGAAGGGCCCGAGAACCTGTGGGAGTGATGGGTGTCTTCAGTGCCTTGACTACAATGGCGGTTTCATGGGTATACGCCTATGTCAAAATTTAACAAATATTATACTTTCAATATGTGCAGTTCATTGTATGTCAGTTACATCTCAACTGTTTTAAAAAATACTGCATTGAGATACCACTAGACTGGCTAAAACTTAAAAGACCGACAATACCAAAATTGCCAATGGTGTGGAGCATCTGGAATTCTCCTACATTATAAGTGGGAACGTGAAGTTATGCGACCATTCTGAAAAAAAGTTATGACAACTTTTTAAAAACTAAATATATACATATTCTGTGACCAGTTATTTCACTGCTAGATATTTATTCAAGTGAAATGAAAACGTGTACATAAGAAAATCTTTGATGAGAATGTTTATAGCATCTTTAGTTGCCAACAGCCCAGGTGTCCGTCAATAGGATTGTCACCAATTAAACTCTGGTATATTCTCATGGTGAAATATTTCTTGGCAGTAGAAGAGAACATACCATTGATACACACAACAGGATGAAAGAATCTTAAACATTACGGTGAGTGGAAAGAGCCTTACTGTGGGATTCCATTGATACGTGATTCTAGAGCAGGCAGAACTAATCCACGGTAGAAAAAAATTAAAACGGTGTTTGCCTCTGCGAGAGGGGCGCAAGGGAACCTTCCAGGGTGGTGGAGACGTTTCGCAGCCTAATGGAAGTTCTTCTTCCTCGGGGTGGGCACTTGTCTCAAGAGCAAACATACACTGCACATCTGTGCATTTCACTGAATGCCAATGTTAAGGCAAAGAAACTGAACAAATACTGACCTCTAGGTAAAAATATGCATGCCGTGTTTGGGGGAAGTTGCCTGATGTCTGCGGTTTACTTTGAAATGCAGCAGAAGGGGGGAGTGGATTAACAGGTGGTCGGAGGATGGGAAGGTGATGTGATGAAGCGTTAATGTTGTCTGAGTGTGGCTCTGCTTGTGGCTATAAAATCCTGTAGCGAGTGTCTGAACACTTTCATGTTCTTAATGAAAAACAATCTCGTGCTCATGTCCCAAATTCAAGCTTATCACAAGTGTTCCTTTGTGCTAACGTGAAAATATATAGCCACTGTTTGCTAAGATCTTATTTTAACCACTCCACCCCTGTATTAGAGTCAGTAAATGTCTGTCCTTGGTGTGACATCGAGTGGTGGACAGGACCAGAAAGCTGAGCGTTAGAGTCCCTGGCCTCGGTTGTCACACCAGGGGATGCTCCAGCCGGGAGTCGGTGCAGGACGTGCCAAGCTGGGCGGAGGCGAGGGGCTGCGTCCGTGCGGTGGAAGCCCTCGTGTTACCTCTCCACGATACTCGGATGGGGAGGTGAGGGGGGACTGAGAGAATAAAACAAGTGTGCACTGCGGGGAGTTCCACTGTTCTATGCTAAATCAGAAACTATAAATGGAGTGTTTCTAATTATAACGAGTTGGAATCCAGGGATAATAAAACAATCAAACCACACTGTCCTGACTCCCACCCTCCTCAGATCCATTCCAGGGCACTCCACCCAGAGTGACAGTTGGCCGCTCATATAAATCACTGCTCTTCTTTGAAACTTACTAACGGAATGCAAACTAAGGATTTAAACCCCTTGTTGATTCTGGCTCTGCTGGATTACCGAGCGCACCGTTACTTGTGAACCACCTTTTCCTAGTTTATGTTGTTTGGGATCCTGTGTTCCTGGCTTTGTATCTGTAAACCATCCCAAGAAATAATCTGTAGCGTTCACAAACTGTCACAACACTCCTCAGATTTTCAACTTTCTTCAGCTCTTAAAATAGTAGATACTAAGGAATGCAGTCTAACTAACGAAATGTGTGTGTATAGTTTAGAAATAATGGAAAAGGAAAAGCCACAGTGCGAAGCTGAAACAAGACCTGAAGACAGTGTCCTTGGGTCTCCCCGAGCAGAAAATGCCTCTGTCTGCTGAGAGTCCCTTTCTCCCGCTAACACCTGAAGGGTGGGAGGGAGCTGGCGGGTGACAGCGGGGACAGGAGAGGGAGGTCTTCAGTTTTGAAGGTCTTATGCCTCAGATCACTGCGTGTTCTTCCCCCGCCCGGTCTGCTCTTTGAACTCCCCATCCCCACCTGTGCCTGCATGGTGCAGCTTTTTGTAGACTTTTGTGACTAAGAATCATTTAAAATCATTTGAACCTAACTTGCTCGTTTCACACATAAAGGAACTGTCTCAGATTGAAGTACAATTTATTTGTGTTGTAGAATGAAGGAATGTTAGACCACCCCTACATAGTAAGTCCAGGAAGTCCTGTTCCTCCATTTGTTAACCGTTTCGGCACACACTGAGTTCCTTTTCGTGCTGGCCATGAATTAGGCCCTGTGAGTGGGTTGTTGAATGAGACCATCCCCACACTGGGGAGCTAGCTTATGGTCCACTTAGAGAGTCGGCTGGTACAATGTGGAACGTTAGTGATGCCGTAGTGAGTGGACACGGGGTTGTGGGAGTACTTCGAGGAAGCTCCTTTTCTAGCTTTTGGTGGAAGATGGTCAAGAAAGCTTCCTCACTGGGATGAGTTCTGGTCTGAGCCCTGGAAGGACAATTACCAAAGCAGAGAATCCAGGAAAAGGTGTCAGAGCTGAGAGCAGCGTCTGTAAAGGTCCTGAGGTACGAGGCAGTAGCACAAAAATTCCCTGTGTAATCTAGCCCTTCCTGAGAGCACACTCCCTTGGATGTAGTAGGTGCTCACACTTTTTCTTTGGGCCCATCATTACATTTAGTTCATTTTGCCTTAGGCGGTTGTGCTCACGCTAATAATCCAGCTCCTCTGCTGGACTCTAAGTGCCTTTTAGAGGAATGGCCGGATTTCCACTGTCACCTGCGGCCATGCACCACGCTTGGCACACACATGGGTGACCAGTATATGTTAACTCCCTGCACAGACGTATCTCCTAGCACATCCCTGAGGTTCTTCTCTGTTCTCACTCTACAGTCTTATTTTTTTTTAGTTCTTCCTAGAATCTTTAAAATCTTCATGGTTTCTTTATAGCTCTTACTGGTTCATGGGCTGTCTCCCTGGCTGGTTGGAGAGCTCCTCATCCGGAATTTTCACTCCTATAGTTTGCAGAAGTTTGTATCAGCTGGGTATATTGATACGTATATTGATTCATGTCTTTTGAAAAGTGGTGTGATCTGATTAATCTGACTTTTGGTCTGTAATTAAGTGACTTTGATTTGATTTGAATTAAGGCTCTTGGTTCTAGCAAGGCCACATGCCTCTTTTATTCGCCACTCCCCCCAATAAACTTGGTGCATTGGGAGGGGAGAGGGTATAGAGGGTGATGTTAATATTTGAGGCCTTATACCAGTCATTGCAGTGCAGCCAAAACAGAACAGTGACCCAGGCCATGAAAATCACTATAAAATAGGCCTTATTTCATTCTTTCCTCATCAGAATGCAGGGTTCTGTCTGTATCACATCAAACTCTATTTCTCCGTGATTAACTGCTAGGGAAATGATAGGAATGAATGTAAGTAACTGAACTACCAGGAAGTAGGAATGAGTGTCATAAATGAGAAGTGAACATAAGGTCATATGAATTCGTTAGAAGAGGTAATGTGTTTGGAGCCGGAAGGGAAAACTAGTGCTGAGGATGAGTGTCTCCGGAGTCTGCAGGTCTGGATAGGATTCTGATAAAGATGGGTCCCGCGTTGTCTGTTACTCCAGGAGCCTGTTCTCATAAGTAGCATGAGAAAAGTATGTCAGGTGGGCGGGGGTGGAATATGTGAATGTTTGGAACAGCCACTGGAGAACGTGATAGGGTTTCAGAGAGAAATTAGCAAAATGGTTGGCACTGTGGCCAGTGCCCAAAGTGGCACGGATTCATGATGTCCCCAGGTATGCACTTGGGGTGTGCTATGCCCATGCCCTGAGAATTCATGTGTGTTACTGTTACATAAATGTAAGTTATAGGCTTACATGTAACAAGACTGCACATGTTAACATGCATCTGATTCATGCCTAGAGGTTACCTTCTCCTCTACTTTCTTCTATGTTCCACATGTGTGAGTGCAAATTTACATTTAGGAAAATAAAGGGGGCGTAGCAACAACATTGTGTCCACCTCATAGAACGGTTGTATAAGCTCTTAGTAAACATTCAGTTGTGATTGCCAGTTTGGGTAGATGAATAATAATTTATAAGAATAATAATTTATAAGTTCTAGCTGTTACTTAGTGTGTGTTAGTACTGTTTGCTGTCGAGACTTCTTTCTTCTTTCCGAACCAGCAAGTGTTGCAGGCTAGCTAGTACTGAGGGGCTGCGTGTTGTTCGGTAAAGTGAGCAAAGGTGGCACCACGCCCACAGAGATGTGGAGCGTCTTTGACAGAGAGACTGGGAGCTGTCAGCTGAAGAATAAATGCCCTAAATATTGGCGGAAATTTCCTTCCCAGCCTCATTTGAAAAAATGAGAAGAGTTTGTGAGATTGGGACATCTGACCACTTTCAAGGTCCCCGTGCGTCAGTCCTCCCACCCCGTGTGCGGTGGTGGGACCGCGTGTCACCGTGTGCTACCTGCATGGGAGCACAGGGTACCCAGTGGGGACAGAGCTCCGTGAAAGGGAGCTCCTCCCACCTCCCCTGGTGGTCTTTACTCTGGTGCGTTTGCTCTGCGATGCTGGCCGTAATCAGCTGAACTAATTGCACAGTTCGCTGGTGGACAACGCTTTGAAAAACACTGCTTATTACAAGATGTTTCTGGCATGGACTTCAGTTTTGAAATACTGCTTTTATCTATTATCAGGTCTCAAGATCATGTTTGTATTTCTACCTCAGGCCACTGGCTGACATGATTTTCTCTTCTATTAATCAGGTATCAACATGGTTTTTTACCACCTTTTCTGTCTCAGGACTGAAGGACAAAATCCACCATGTGGACAGCCTCCACCAGCTATTCGCTGCCATCTCACCTGAACAGATCGACTTCCCTCCTTTTGTCCTTGAATATGATGCCAGGGTGAGTACCAGGGGTTCTCCCTGCCCTGCCGTGGGGTCTTAACCCGTCTGCAGAGCAGCGCCTAGCAGTACCGCGTCCTTCTGGTATGAGAGGATACTAACTCAAGTAGTGAGTTTTAGGGAACTTCATTGTATCATTTAACATTCTTTTTCTGCCATAACTTTAGGAAAAGACTTTATCCTAAAAGAGGGCTTTTTCACCAGTAAATTTTGCAATGGCAGGCTTTTCTGCCACAGTCTTTAAGCCAGTCCTTGTTTGTATTGCGAGTTATCGACCACCTTTCAGACAGTACCTCTGCCTGATCTTAAGATCGAATGGCTTTTCATCTACATAAAGAGAACCAGAAGAATCTACTGGTGTCCATTTTCAGTATCGATTGTAAACCAAGTAGCCTATCTTAGTAGTCTTTTACACTGCTAGAAGTTTCATTTGGCTAAAAGTTCATATAATGTTTTTAAGAGTGTCCACCAACAGTTAGTATTATTACTTACAGATGCATTTATGAGTCTATTACTTAAACACGAATGAAGGGCTACTCTTGAATTTCATCATAGCTCTATTCCACTGTGTTTATTCACCCTATCACTTCAATAGTTAAGAAAAAAAAGGGAAGTGACATGCTTGGCCAAGAGATCATCGGTCTTCTTATTTAATTATTGCTGATCACATATATTTATGCACAAGTCAGGAAATATATGTGAAGGTTATATTAACTTTGAAATGAATTATTCTTCCCTGATTATTGTACAACATGAATACAGTAAAATAAATATCCTACAACACATTTTATCTCTGATTTCTTAACTTCAGCTGTGATTTCTGTTCTCTTATGTGAACAGCAAAGAATTGCGTGTGTTCCGGTGGCGAATAAAACCTCGTCTGGCCTTCTCACGGAGAAGGCTCGGGGTGGGAGCGGCTGGGTCGCAGGTGCAAAGGCTGTTGAGTCTGTGGGAGGGAGGAATATCGGTTTGTGTTGACTGCGGGTTGTTGCAGCAGAACGTGGCCTTACTGTCACTCTTTTGAACTCCATACATCATTCTTCCTAATGTTTAAAAAAACGGAGAGCAGGAAAGGTGAAAGGCACACAAAGACATTTTGATACCAAAATTTGGCATGACACTTCAAAGCTAGTATCTGGGTTTATAATTCATTTTTCTGGGGTAGAAATGCACGAGTTGGATTGTATTAGTTACAAAACCCAAAGCATTGTTTTTGAGGCCAACACATATCTATATACTTAGGAGCATAGAAAGCAGGATTTCATTAAATATTAACATACAATTAAGTTGGTTTTGCTTTTCTGTTTTGTGTATTTATTTTAGGTTTTTGTTATATTCTGTATCAAATGCAGGCCTAATTATTATGATTAATCAAAATTAAACACAATTAGCTATAATGTTTCTAACCCTTGGGCGGTCAGATCATCTCTCTGTGCCTGTCCTAGAGCTTTCTAAAATTGAGATATTAGACCTTGATATGTAAAGGCCAAAGAGAGGAATGCAATGAGGGGAGGCACAAAAGACGGTGTCAGGAGGGGACTTAGAAAGGGCACAGAGGGCAGATCCTCGGGCTGGAGCTTTCTGTGCGGTGCTGTGGCCCAGCGGACCCTGAACAGCGCGCGGGTGGGTACCAATGCCTCACACGGCCGAAAGTCCCGGGCAACTTTCGACTCCCCAGATAAGAGCCCACTGTTGACTGAAAGGCTTACTGATAACATAAACAGCCAACAAACATATTTTGTATGTTATGTGTTTTGTATACTGTATTCTTATAGTAAAGTAAGCTAAAGAAAAGGAAATGTTATTAAGAAAATCATAGGAAAGAGAAAATACATTTATAGTACAGTATGATACCATATGTTTACATTGTCTGTTTATGAGGAATTGATAAATTATCTCTGTCAGAACCTGCATCAATATTGCCTTATAGGATACAAAACACTGTAGAAGTTATGTGTTACTAACACTAGATATCAAAAATGAAAAGATAATGTGAAAAAGCAATTCACATTTATGTATAAGTGTAATGATTCATGTATTGATAATGAAGCAGCAGCACTCTTTTTGCTTTCTGGTAGATTAGTGTGGTCGGTACTTGCTTTACAGTAGCCTGGCGTGTATATGAGTGAGTGAATTGTCATAAAAACTTTATGGTGTACAGTATTACAGTCGTATTCATCATTCGTGTTGGAAACCTTATTACATTTTTAAAACCTGTGGTGTTGGTTGATGCACAGTTTCTCCAGTTGAGAGAGAGAGATGCATGGTATGGCAATATAATTCCTTGAAAGTAAAGTTATAAAGCAGTAAGAAAACTCACACAATTTTATATTAAATACCACTCACCTGATGCCTGTGTAGAACAGGTCATTCACCTCTGTACGAGTCTTGCACACAGTGTTCTACATGACGAATACTCAGGCGATGGTGGTGGCGAAGACACGGAGCGTCTCTGACAGCCCTCGCCCTACAGTAAATAGATTTTCACATGAAGATACACAAACACAACAGATAAGTTTATTAACTGTACACCATGAAGATTATTTACTACTCATTACATGGAAGTGGATCACGATACAGGTCTTCGCCCTCACTTTCCAGTCCAGTGGGCTGAGGAGGAAGAGGAGGAGGAAGGAGGGCAGGCCCGCTGTCTGTGTCCAGCGGCAGAGGGGGCAGTGCTGGACGGGGAGCCAGGAGAAGCAGGCACACTCAGTGTAACTGTGGGAATACACGTGTGTCATAGTTTCTGCCTGTTTGCTTTTTCATCTAAGAGTGTTTCAGGGTGGCACCAACCCCTCTCCCACTGCCCGTGTCGGTCTCAGCGCCCGTGACCTAGAAGGGCCTGTGTCACACGAGGTGCAGAACAGTCTGGACTAGCGGGGACCCCTCGGCCGGGTGGGCAGCATCAGTTTGCTCTCTGACGTTGCTTCCTCCACGCCTGCTTCCTCCTCCTTCTCTGTTATTTTCCCTGCTATGATGTCTGTCTGCACTGCAGTTTCTCCAGCACCTGGGTTTGGAAGCCTCCGCCCCAACCCCGCCCTTTTGCCACCCCCACAGTTGCGATCACCAGCTCTGTGGAAATCTGTGACGTCGTGCGTCTGGACGGAGTTTTTCTGCAGCAACAATGTATTATTTCGGGCTCTGTGGCTCTCCCGGCTTTTTCCGGAACAGCAGTGGCATCTACCGCGGCCTGATCCTTCCAGACTTTCCCGGTGTCCCCTCTACCAGGGTCTCCTGCCAGGCCGTGACAGCCCTTTCCATAGAGCATGGAGCATATTGACCTTGAAGGCCCCTACGGCCCCCTGGTCTGGAGCCTGGCATAGAGATGTGGCGTTCAGGAGCACGCCAACCGCTGGACACCTCCAGTGTTGAACTCGTGGGTTCTGGGGGCCAGGGGCACTGTCCAGTGTCAGAACTTGCGGGGGCAATTCTGGCAAGGTACCTTCTGACTTCAGGGGGCGCATCGATGGAACCAGTCCGTAAAACAGGTTCTCCTTGTCCGGGCCCCCTTTGTGTGCGACCCAGAGGCTGGCACCTGGTGTTTGTCACCTCCCAGGCGCCAGGGCCAGCAGCTCTGTGGACGAGGGACGTCCCATGTTTCCCAGAGCAGTGGCGTTCGCCTGCCCTCCTGCCTTCGGTCCTGGTGCGCGACTTTCTTCACCACTAACGCAGGTGCTTTGTGGCATTTTTTCCAGAAGAGGGCTACTCGCATCTGCACTAAAGCCTGTTCGGGAAGACACCTTTTCTCCTCGATGATTTCATTAATGGTGTCTGGGAACTTGTTTGCTGCCCCTCTCTCTTTAGAAGCTGCTTCTCCTGTTATTTTGACATTTCTTAGGCCAAACCATTTTCTAAAATTATCCAGTCATCCTTTGCTGGCATTCGATTCCCCAGCTTTAGATCCTTCTCCTTAGGCTTCATCATATGATGACTACGCTTTTTCTTTAATCATGTTAGAGTCAGTCTGTACGTCTTTCTTAGGGCAATCCTGCAGACACACAAAAGCTGCTCTTTCAATAGGAGAGGAAAATGTATTTCACAAAAACTGCAAGGTTTTACATCTGCTGGTGTAGCTGCAGCGATAGCTTCACAGAATCTCTTCCTTTTTCACAGTGGTCTTCACGCTGCGTTCATCTATCTGGGAGATGGCGGGCGGCCACCGCGGCGGACCTCAATTGGTGGTCCGCACCAAGCCCTCCAGCTTTTTCTCAGAATGTAGTGACTTTGGCACTTTCAGCGTCAGTAATGGCACTTTGTATGGTGTTATTCAGGGTCTACAGTCGGTGCTAAACATGAAACATACACTAGAGCCGTGCAAGTTCACCGTTTGCCGTGGTACGCAGCTTCCTGGAGAGACAGGCCGCTCACCTGGGGCTGATGCAAGGTGATGAGGTCGGATGGCGGGCTAGACAGGTGCTTGCAACACTTGAACTCATCACAATGGCAACAGGAGGTGGTTACGGAATTATTACAACAGAACACTAATAATTATGACATAATCACTATGTAACTTTATGTAGTTATGATTTAACACTACATCTTCACAATGGTTTACATTTCTCTCAACTGTGGCCACGGGCTGTTAATGTTCTGTTCGTGTGCATAAGTTTTGATAAATTTTAACTTGATAATAGATTTGTGTGTGTTTTATGATAACAGATGATAAAAAAGACTTCGTATGTATATGTATTTGCATTTGTTATATATCTAGTTTTTAACTTTTTTAATATTTCTAAGCTACATGGTTTGTCCGCAGGTGTTTCCAAATTGTTGCAAATCTCCAAAAAAAATTTTTTTTAGTTTGTATATAAGCACACCCACGCAGGTCAAACCTTGTCGTTGAAAAGCCAGCACAACTTTGGCTTTGCAGTGGGTGGGGCGTATCCTGCAAGGGAGCGGCCGTTGCATTCCTGTTGAGAACGACGGCTGAAGAAAGCACAGAGCAACTGGGGGGAGGATGAGATACACGCAGGGAGACTCGGGAGAAGCGATGAGAGAAGGCCGGAGGAGAAGTGAGACCAGGCGGGGCATCTGACCACGTCAGGGATTGGAAGGCGTGGAGAAGTAGGCATTTTAGGAAGTGAAACCCACAGCGTTTGGGAGCTGAGGAGCCACCGGGGGGGTGAAGAAGGGGTGACATCTGCAGTGACTATCGAAGGTTCTGCTGTGGGAGGTTGCTGGGTGGAGCTCTCGGCGCCCCAGAAGGGCAGTTTGAGGGGGCGGGGCACGTGGAGGGGAGAGACTGTGCGTTCGGTTTGTGACGGGCTGGGTCTGCGGTTCCTGTGCAGCGGTGAGAAGGGGGACCAGGGAGTGATCAGATGGCGCCTTACAAGGAAACCTTTTCCTTCGCAAGGAAGAAAATGATTAGAGAGAAGGAGATAAGTACAGGGTTGGTTAATTTTATTACAGTGTTCAATTATGCTTTGCACCTAGTATGTTCTTTATTAGGCGAAGACCTGGTGCAGTGTTGGCCAGTTTCACTGGGCTTCTATTTGTCTGGGTCTCCTGTGACTTAGAATAGTGACATAAGTTTTATGGGATTAGAAGAAGCTTTTGAAGGTAATTAGAAGGTAAGTTTTTATTCATCTACATCACAGTGGTACTGAGACCATTTCAGAAAGGAGCCACATCTCAGGAAGGTCAGCAGTCTTAGGAACATAGTCAGAGGAGGGAGCACACAAATCTGGTCACGTTCTTCACATTCCTGTTACTGTTAGAAAATATTGGATTGCTTAGCAGTCTCTTTGTATGATGTGAGGCTAATGTAAAAAGCTCTATTTCATATCCTTCAGATGGCTTTGCCTTTCTTTATTGCAATTTAATGTAGATATGAGAAACCTCGAAAAATATGGTAGTAGGTGAATGGAGAAACCTGCAAGGTGAATAGTGAACCATTTCTTTTTAGATGAACTTCAGAATAGATTTTTCTCATCAGCATGTTTCTTAAGCATACTTAGGAAACATACTTAGGAAGCATACTTAACAGATCCCGATAGGAAATTCTAAAATACAAAATAAAGTTTTCATTAATTTTTTAAGTATTCTGGAATGTAGCCAATCTTAGGAACTTTTTTTTTAATGTTTAAAAATATATGTTTTGATGCCTGGTCAGATTTATTAGGAGCAAATCAAGTTTCCCTAGAGCTCCTCTTGTTTCCTGGTTGTGGCCCTGGGATGAATTCCTGCTCCAGGGCAGGAAGCTTCGACTCCCGCAGTCACTCAGCACTTACCTGCCCACTGTGGTCGAGACTGGGGAGCAGTGATGCTCCTGCCCAGTACCTGGGATGCTCCTAGGAACCGTCATGTAAATGCACCATAAGGCAATGCCACTTTTATCCCGTCTCCCATCCTCTGTTCCTAACGACCGTCTCGCGTTCACACCACACGTTTTCTCTTCGAGGTTTACTGAAAAATGGGTTATTTGCCAAAGAAATGCTTTCCTTAAAAATGAGAAATGAATCTTCAATCTCATAAATATAATCTAGGGTCTGTCTACTATAGAGTTACTGCTTCGATTTTTATTAAGATGCGGTTAGCCAAAATGAGGTCACGAATCTTCCCTGAGGCTGATTCAGCGCTCTCTACAGTTGGCATTAAAGTGCTGCCATTTCTAATCAGTGACTCTCCCTCGTGGTCATGACCTGAATGCCCTGAGAACCGTGACTGTTACAAGCCTTGACACTCGGGCACATTACAGAGAAGGCTCATTTCTGTCACAGTTATTAAATTCCCGAGTGGTCATTCAGTTTATATGGTAACTTCGTATTAAGATTCAGTGCACAGGAAGATAACTCAGTTTAACAAAGTGAACCTGGGCATCAGATTCAAATGGCCGTGGGTTTAAACTCAGGCTCTTCTGGTCACCTGCGGAACCACAGGTGACCTGAGGTGAGGCACACCACCTGCGCGAGCCTCAGTTTCCTCTCCTGTAAAACAAGGGTGTCACCTACTCCATGGCCCTCTGCAGGGACATACAGGGTAAGGAAAGAAGAACACCGATCAGGTTTCCAGCACACGGACTACCCAGCAAGTGGCACTGCTGTCAGACAGCGACACCCTGACCGCTGCCCCTTCGGCCGAGGGCCTGCAGAGTCCTGGCCCGTGCTGGGCACTCTCAGCCACCGTGTCGCCGACCTAAGCCCTTTCTCTCGCGTTCCCCGTCAAAGCGATCCTGTGACTCAGTGTTCTCGTCTTTTTTTCTTCCCACAGGAGAATGGGCCTTACTACACATCGTATCCCCCATCACCGGATTTGTGACCCGCCGTCTTTCCGTGCTCCTGGTCCCCAAGGACATCCCTTTCCCCCGGACCTCTGCCTGTTGAAGTGACGACACTCGTTCTTGCTGTACAGACCCAGAGAGCCTTTTGTCCCCACCTCTCTGGTATTTTTTTATTGACTGTATATTTTCTGGCACATAAGCAATCTGAAAATGGTAGACCATTCTGAATTGCACACTTATTTTCAATTTGTATATTTGTATCAAATGAAGATGTTCATTTTTAGAGGGTTGTTAATAGAAATTGGGGAGCAGCTTTTGAGTCTCTTTGGTTTCCTGCGAGGACACTGTTCCCTGTTAGACAAGCCACCATTGCTGTTCCCGTCGTCTCTCCCACTGCACGCTGCCTCTGTACTTAAGCATTTCTCAAAATACATAGAACCAGTGTACGCTGACCGGGTGCATTGTTGCTTCAGACCCTGGCATCGTGTCTCGTGCAGGTAACGTGGCTGAGATCAAAGAGTGTGGTCGGGGACCAAGGGTGTGGGGATGATCTGATCAGAAGCATCAAAATCATTAGCAAAATGTAGGTCTTAGAGTTTCACTGTACCATTAAGACAGTTTTAAGAACTGAAGTTCCTTGGAGCATATGATTGTGAAGATTCTTCTGGTCGCAACAGTGGGGGAAAGAGGAAGACGGTGGGCATCTCCGGCCTCTTTCCTGTACTTGGGCGTGATTTGGTCTCCTTGCTCTAAAGGACTGTGCGTGTTAGTGCTCTGAAGTGAGGGCATCTCCTGCCACTCGATTGGGGAGCCTTGGGCGAGGGGTCTCCCTCTAGATCCATGGACGATCCTGCAGATTGACTGCAGAGCTGCCCCCTCGACGGACTCGTCCTACTTGCCTACGTCAGTGTGGAAGAAAATCCTAGACCACGTGCGTCCCTCAGGCTGTTTGTGCCTTGGCTTGCTTGCCAATAAAACGTAGGATTATGCCCCCTGCCTCACAGAAGTATCCCGAGGGTAGCATTTAGAAAGGGCGTTCAGGGTCCGGATGAGGAGGCCAGGGGAGTGTCTGTGGTGGGCCGTCCCCGGTCGCTTTCTCAGTGATAACAAATGTGCTTGTGGGGCTGCTCCGAGCCACTCCTCCTGTCCTTGGCACCTTTGGAGTCATTTTTCCCCCTTGGGACAAGAGTTCCAGCGAAGTCTCAACCTTGAGGACCTCCTCCCCGCGTTGTCCAGATTTCCTGCTGGCCTCCTCCCCCACCCCCAGCACCACACGTTAACAAGAGGCATCTGTTCTCCCTTTCAAACATTTCTTCTTGAATTAAGGTCAAACCATTATCGTTTCCATCTGGGTGTCTTCACGTTCCTTCTATACCCACCCATCTCCTTCACCCCAGCGTGTCCATTGGCATTTTGGAGAAGAAAAGGTGGAAGTCTTTGTTCAAAGCGCTCAGGATTGCTGCTTCCAAGGCTCCTGTTCCCTGTGCCCAAATTACTTCAGTGGAAGTAAAAGAAACACCTGTCTTCATGTGTGATAGACAAATCCCTACAGTTGCGTTAATCGCCTCCTATATGTTCCCATGTAAACAAAAAGGGGCTTTACATTACTCAGATGAGCACTCTTCCACACAAAACAGACACATTTTCCTCCTGTAGGAAATAAAAACCCCTTGTTTCCTACATGCTTTCTTGTCAAGGACTCTGACGGCTGAGGTCCTCGGGTCCAGTGGGCCAGTCAGGTGGCTGGCCTTAAGCTTCCTCTCAGACAGTCTTTCTTTAACCCTGGAGCCTTGAGCCTTAAAGATCTGAAAAGCTAGCTTCATCTCCTGCAGGCAGTTGGCGGGTCATGTGCGAGGCACCTTTTCCCTAGAAGCAGTCATAAAGATACGCCAGCTTCGCTCTGTTGGAGCCGAACAAGGCTGCCTCTCAGTGGCTCCCGGCCTGAGTCACGTCCCCTCCGGATAACAAGGATGCAGGCTACACTTCTCCATTTGAAAGGAAGCAAATTTATATGTACCCTTTCTTCTAGGCAATAATTTCGAAAGGATGTTCCCTCTGCTGTATCTATAGCAATATATTAATGCTCAGCTGCACGGCAGGAGTCTGCATGTACCGAGATTCTAGTTCAGTCGATGTCCTGGGGTATAAGGTGGTATAGGACTACATTCATATCAGCGCGTTTCATGGTTTAATGGAGACCACAGATAAGGGCTGCTCTTCTCATCGAAACGAAGTCTGGTGTGGACCCAAGTCCACATCGACAGTGGTACGTAGTGAAGTTCCTCTGTGGACTCGTGTCCCAGGAGAGGAACAGGGTGGCCTTGATGCGGAAGTGGTTGACACTCAGTATCCAGCGGCCTCTGTCGTGCTGCCGGGTCACCTGCGTAACACACGCCGTGTTCAGGGACACAGCGGAAGGTGGAGGGGTGGCTGGGTGGGGACGCCCACGGCATCTGGTGATCATCAGAGCACCATCAAGCCCTTAATTCCATTAACCTTCACTCACGCCAAATGCTGGTGGGACTGAGGAGGAAACGACTTACAAAATATTAGGTTAGTCCATTAAACCGTGCAAGGCCGAGTGGGGTTTCTAAAACAAGCACATGTCTGGATTCGCCGGCTCGTCTGTATCCAGGTTTCCTGACGGCAACAAGAACCTCTTGCAAAAAGCTTCGTTGTTATTAGACTCTTAAGGTTTAAAGACCAAAGAGGTTCACATTTTAAAGATTTTCTCTAATATACACCATTTCATTGGCTGGTGCTCTACTTTATTTTTAAGATACCCCATCTCTAGTAGTTTGAAAGTAATCAAGATTTTCAGGATATTTTTGCTAAGAAAAATGGATGTAGGTTTTTGTAAAATATCAAATCAGAAGGATTAAAGTCTATTCATAGAGGATGATGAGTGTAATCACTTAGGTAGAAAAATGGTTAGTCTATTTCTACCTGTTTTCTGTTTGTTGAGATATTGTTTAATGAATTCAAACTGTAGGTAATAGTTTAAATTTTTCTTTGCAACAGTTAGGAAAGCGATAAAGTATAGTTTCAGACCTACTTTTTGTGTTTCCCTTGATACATTGTGTATGTATGTATGTAGAGTTTAAAGTGCTTAATATATGAACAGAAAGTTTTAGAATTTGAAGTAGCCATGGCTGGTGTGGGTCAGTGGATTGAGTGCCAGCCTTTGAACCAAAGGGTCGCTGGTTCAATTCCCAGTCAGGGCACTTGCCTGGGTTGAGGCCAGGTCCCCAGTAGGGGATGCATGAGAGGCAACCAGACATGGATGTTTCTCTCCCTTTCTCCCTCCCTTCCCCTCTCTCTAAAAATAAATAAATAAATAAAACCTTTTTCAAAAAGTAGAATTTGAAGTAGAAAGAGAATTGTATGGTTCTAGGAGCAGTGGGTTGATTGTATTAAGGACCAAAAGGAAGACAGGAGACCGTGTAAAACTGTAAACCGAGTGCTGGCCGGTGAGTTTCAGATTGTGCTTCTCCTGAGTTATTGTTGTCACGATGAACATGCATGGGAGGTGGTTTTTGGTTTGGGTTTTGTTTTTTTGCTGTGCTGGCCATTTTGTTATACGCCTCAGGGGACATGACTGATCCCTGCCTGAGACCAGGAAAGATAAAACGTGAGGGTTCCTAGGCCTTATCAAAAACCTAGGCCATATCAAAAAATAAACAACCTCAAATGATAAGGACTGCCTAGTAGGCCTAAACACACACACACACACACACACACACACACACACACACACGTGTATATGTAAACATACACACAAAATAATCTGCTTTGCTTTACATTCTTTGAATGTGATTTTCTATGGCCCAGATGTGGAGAAAATAAGAGCAATAAATTTTTGATTCTACCAAAATTGCCCTTTAATAGTATCAAGGTCATTTTAGATATTAGTGGCTCTCTTGGTTATTAGTTAACTTTGTTTTCTGTTTCCAATAACAGTGTCTTTGAATCATAAGTACAGCATGCCTTAAATGTACAGAACTACTGAGTTCAAGAAGAAAACATAGATATTCTGTAGGTGAACTGCACTAACAAAATCATAGCTGCTGAATGTGAGCTGATATTTTTGTTTAACAGTTAAATCTAATGCATTTTATATACACAAGCACGCATTTTAAAAATGTGTTTTGCCCGGGCCAGCGTGGCTCAGTTGCTTGGAGCATCGCCCCATAATTGAACCCGAGAGGTCAAGGGTTCGACTCCCAGTCAGGACACATGCCTAGGTTGCGAGTTGGCCCCTGGTGGGGACACGTGTGAGAATCAGCCAATGTTTGCTTCTCTCTCACATTGGTGTTTTTCTCGCTCTCTCTCCCTTCCCCTCTCTCTAACATCAATAAGCACATCCTCAGGTCATGCTTAATATGGTTAATATGTTTCACTGGTGCAAGCATGCGGTCATCGCAAACTGATCCAAGAGTTGGTCAGACCAGATCACATGGACCAAAACATTTAAGGTAGAGCTTAATGTCCATGAGTAATCGTTCTTGGACATAGGAGACTGAAAAGTGTTTTGATGCACATGATCTTAAGATTGATTGATTCAAAATTCAGAAAGCTTTGTGAATAGTTTTTATATAAAATTCCATGTTAGTCTTTCTGAGTTGAAAGATCCCCTTTCCAGAGGTCCCGCTCTGCAAACACGGCCCATGAAGAACCGATATTAAACTAATCGTGTTTGTACGGAGTCCCAGAAGAAGACAGTCCTCAGCCACGTACGCCTGGCGTTTCTCTAATCACCAGACTTAACCAGCAGAGCAGTACATATGCTGTGAACTTTACCATCCACCTCCTCCTTGGAGACCTAAAGTGGTGCTTCTCTGCCCTTAATGTGCACGTATTATGTCAGCGGGGGATATATTAAAAGGCGGCTTTTGATACAGTGGGCCTCCGAGGCAAGCCTGGATTCTAACAAGCTCTTCCATGACATTTATGCCCCTGCTCCCAAGACCACACTTAGTTGAGCTGCCTTACTTTCCCCATTTTGAGGCGGAGACTGAAGTCTCACTGTAATTCCTTCTGTGGGCTGGGTGCTCGCACACCAATTATGTCATCCTCCCGCAAACCCTGCGTGGTGGGTGGTGGCAGCAGTTGTGGGACCTACGAGAGCCCACACACGCAGCCGGTGCAATAGCCATGTTTCTCAGATTGCATATGGAAACATTCCCTTAGCTCCCCAGTTTGTATTTTATTTACTGCAATGTTACCTGAGTGTATATAAACATAAAGCTGCATATAGATAGATACCTTCTGCTTGTAGCCCTTGCACAAGTCTAAAACCGAAAGTTGTTTACAGATCAGATATAAACAGAACTATGAAACTAATGAAACTCAAAATAACGTTGATTAAGGATGATGGATGAGGATGCTTGGCCAAAACGAAGCAGCCACGGGACAGTGTGCTGCGTGCTGCAGGAAAAGTTCTGCTGAGTTCAGCACGCATGTGCTGTCCTGCGCTGCGGCGCTGACTCAGTTCTCCCACTGTTTTTCTCTGTGCAGACTGTTGCTGTCATTTGCTGGGCACACAGTGAGGTCATTTGGTCACCTGGCTTGAAAGTGTCGGTCCCCTGTGGAGTCAGCCTCTGTTCTGCAGAAGCCTTCCA